TGGAAAAACGATGAATAATGAATGAAAAGGTTGCTGACCTATCCCAAAACCCTTAGGCTAAGTAGCAGCACTCCACTTCGAGTCAGGTTATTTGTCAGTTGATGTATGTACTGAAACCCCCTGCAGCATGCTATTTCTGTATGACATCACACCCACCTAAATCAACAGTATAAGATATAAATATATATATGTATATGTATGTATGTATACGCTGACCTAACTGCCGACCTCAAACTCTTTTAGGTTGGCAATTAGGTTGGCATTGCTGAATGCTAACCTTAATTCCGAGGGTTGTACTAAGTAATCTGTAGAAACAAAACATGCTTTTGTAGACACATAATGAAGCAGATAATGAAACCGGCTGTGTGACATGTGTGTACATATTGTTTTTTCTAAGTTACTATCTTGCATTAAAGAAAGGAGGTCAGACAAAAGTATTACACCTTCATCTTCAAACTAGCTGATCTAGCTAGACTGCTGATTACTTGTCCCAACTAAAGTTAAGTTATATATGCTAACTCAGCATATCTATAGCACATGATTGAAAGAAAGACCTCAAGCCCATTTTTTTAACATGGGTGCACAACAGGATGTTTGCGATGTTTTTGAGGATGATTTTTAATGATTACTTGTTTTTAATGATGACATTAGTCCAACATTTTTTAAAGTCTGTCAATAGCATTGTGATCCTGATGTGAGTGAATTTGTTAAAGGGTTGTAAAGATTATCAGGCAAACCAAATTTGATCCCACTAAATTTTACACTTGTTACTATGATACTCGAAGATAGACAAGGTGCAAAAATGCATTGTAAACATAGTTGGACCTGCTCTGGCAGCCAATCTCCAACCTTTATCACATCGTCGTGATGTTGCTTCTCTTTCTCTTTTCTACAAATACTATAATGGGCACTGCTCTAAAGAGCTAGCGTCTCTTGTGCCATCTACTAAAATTCATTCTCGTGTTACTCGTCATTCAATTAAGTCTTATTTTCTGTGACTGTTCCTAAGTGCTTCAAAAACTCTTATTCTTCTAGTTTTTTTCCTCGAACATCAGTTCTTTGGAATTCGCTTCCGTCATCTTGCTTCCCTGATTCATATAATTTGCAATCATTTAAGTCATCAGTCAATCGCTATCTTGCTCTACAGATTTAGTCTTTTCTCTTCCAGCAACTTCCAACTCTTATAGTGGTTGCTTGCAGCCTTGTTGGAAGTGAAGATGTTAAAAAAAAAAAAAAAAAAAAAGATAAAACATTGACACAAAAACCAAGCAAAATAATACTCCAGCTATAAGCCAGCTACTGACTTTTAATAGTGCGATGCACAACCGATCAGAGAACTCTTTTGATGATTGCACTACACAAATTCAATAACAAAAACTTATTTACCCCTGCTCAACCAGCTAAACTAGTCAACTGTAGTTCATTCACGGGTAGAGGTGTTGCGTAGAAATATGAACTTAATAGAGAACATTTGTTGCTTGAAACTGTTAGACAGGTTCATGATGCCAATAGATCAAACTACAATATGCAATCAGTGGAATGGTTCTCATGGTCTGCATAGCATGCCAATTCAGACTTTTTTTTTTTTCAATTATCTTTGCTTCCAACAAGGCTGCAAGCAACCACTAATTAGTGTTGGAAGTTACTGGAAGAGAAAAGATAAAGATTGTAGAGCAAGATAACGATTGACAGACGACTTAAAAGATTGCAAATTATATGAATCAGGAAAGCAAGAAGAAGGAAGCAAATTCCAAAAAACTGATGTTCGAGGAAAAAAACTAGATGAATAAGAGTTTTTGGAGCACTTAGGAACAGTAACAGAAAAAGGATGAGACTTAACTGAATGACGAGTAACACGAGAATGAATTTTAGTAGATGGCACAAGAGACGCTAGCTCTTTAGAGCAGTGCCCATTATAGTATTTGTAGAAAAGAGGAAGAGAAGCAACATTACAACGATGTGACAGAGGTTGAAGGTTGGCTGCAAGAACAGGTCTAACTATGTTTACAATGCGTTTTTGCACCTTGTCTAAAAGAGAAAGGGCATCATTAGAAGATCTGCCCCAGATATGGCAACAGTATTCCATACAAGGCCAGATTTGAGATTTATAGAGATAGAGAATAGAATCCAGAGTAAGAAAGTGACAAGCTTGATAAAGAGAAGCAACTTTAGCAGATGCTAATTTTGCAACGGATTTGATATAAGGTTTCCAAGAAAGATCAGAAGTAAGAGTTAATCCTAGAAGATGAAGGGTAGATGACTCATCTAGTACATTACCGTTCATAAATATAGGAAGGTCTAAATTATTGCGATAACGATTGGCCGAAAAAAATTGAGTTTTATCTGAATTAAATTAATTACTTGGTCGGGAAGCGGGAGTGATCACTCTCAATTACTAACCATGGAAATAATATTTATTTACAAAAACTAGCCAGATTTTTTAGTCATTTTGAGAACATTTGAAAAAACAAAACAAAAAAGAGCAAAAAAGATTAACTGGACCAAAGAGAGACAATTACAAAAAAATATATAAACTATGAAAAGAAAATAACTTAATGCAAAAAAATTTATAGCAAAATAAATTACGTTTAGAACAAAAAATTTTAAAACATCGCTCTTTTATAATTTTTTTTTTTATAAAGGCATTTTATCTTACGATTGCTTAATAATGAAACAAATGTTTTTTTATTTATCAAAGAGTATAATATAATTTTTATTTATATACTTGTGTCTTATTTCCAATGCAATATATTCGGAGGGGTAGGGTTAGAGGGGGTTATAGCCTAGGCCCCACAATGGACCCCAAAAAAGTCAAGAAGACATTTTTAGTAACTTCAAGTTTTAGTATAATGAGTTTGTAAGAATGGTAACTGAAGCGAAAATATTTGGAGTTAACCAAAAAAAATATATATATTTGGAGTAAACCAATAACTAAAAACTTAAAAACTTTTCTTTCTTGGGGGATGTATCAACCGGGGCTACTTTACTCCCTTTTTAATGGTTATTTTACTGCAGTTAAATTTAGGCCTAATAAAAAATTTGCTTAATGAATTAAATTGATTTTTTTCAAGTTATAATATGTTGTTATAACTGGTCTGTGACGAAAAATAAAATTAAAATTTAATATGTTTTGATTGAGGTTTTAAAGTTGGTGCAAAGTAGCCCCCAATGAGTGACCTTGCACTGCTTATAAAAAATAGAAATAAAAATATGTTTTTAATGTTGAAAACAAATGAAAAATCTCGCCCTAAAAGGTAATTTTAGTATAAAGTTCCTAAATATCACAAAACTATTTTAAATAAGTACAATACTTTATGTAGCTTAAAATATGGTTTTAAAAATAAAAACATAAATCTTAACTAGAATGTTGATTTAAATATAAAGTTTAGTTCAGGATTTTCACAAAACACTACTTTAGATAAGTAAAATACTTTCTTTTAAATAAACAAACACTAAAAATAAAGCAAAAAAAATCAAACAAACTGTCACCTTATAAATAAATCTTCAAACCTTATAAATAAATCTTCAATATTATATGTTACTCATACCTCTCACCATCAAACAGTTCTGACACTGAAAATATTCCTCTTTTGCTCAAAACATTAGGGGGGGGGGGCGTATTTTTCCAGCTCTCCTATCCCATTTGTAAATAAATTCGTTTTTTTTTTCAAAGGCTATTTCCAATTATTCAATGATTTTGCCATGACACTTACTGTTGCTCCATTATTGTCAAAGTAAACTATGATTCCAGGTAAATATTCATTTTTACAATTTATTAGAATTACAAATGCATCAATCTGTTAGCTGATTGGTTTAACCAAATTATAAAATAAGTTGTTCTCAAGAAACTGGGTAGTTAATTCTGCTCTATTGGAACCATCAAGTAGTTTTTGAATTTTTCTCTTCAGTCTGTAAGATTTTGAAGATATACTAGGACTAGGCTATGGTTCAATATTGTTTTGATTTGAAATTGAATCTAGCTCCATATCAAGTAACTTCAAATGAGAAAGAATTTTTCCTGCTGGTATAACAACTAAATTTTTTCTAGCTAGTTTCGGTTTTGTCACAATTGAAGTTCTTGTCAATTTCAGAGCTTTCAAATTTAAATTTTTTTGCATGATTTTAACATCAGGTGGTTTCTTTTCATCAAAAAATTAAACTTATTAAAAGTTGATATAGTTCTCCACGGCTGTTTCAAACCGAGCTTAACGGCTTCTTGTTATTTTTTGAAAATATTGACTTAAGGGGTGTTACTAAAACTTCTATAACTTAAAACTTCTATAACTATATAAAATATTAAAGATAATTTTGTTTTGTAAAAAGAATAAAAACACCAATAAAATGTTTCATCTTACGACATTTAATGCATTAGTAAAAAAACTTCTTTAAGTTTAAATAAAACGCGACAAATGATGAAGTTGGCTGAATTCAAGTAATTTGATGTTACTTTTTATCAAAAAAAAATCTGAAAAATTTATTTCTGATAGTTAATCTCAAATATACACATTGTTTGACTATTATAAAAACAAAAAAACCTTACCTAATTGTTTAAGGATAGCTAAAACAGACTTTATTGAGGTCTGAAAGCAAACCGCACTTTTCGCAAAGTTATGAAAAATGTAGTTAAAAGGGGGTAGCTGTTAAAAAAGTACATTTTTAAACCTAGGAGTTCTTGTTTTAGAAACTTATTTTCTTAAGCCAATAAATTCATTGCATTGCAAAATAAAGCCAGATTTCGATTTATGAATATTTAGTCAAAACATTTAAAGCTTAAGCATTTATTTTTTTCTGTGCATACAGTTCTAATAATATGGTGTTAAGTTGTTAATAAATAAAGACTCACCAAGTCTAATAAAATAATTCATGATCAAATTTGAGTTTAAGTTTTTGAATTAACCTCGCTTTTGGTAGTAGAATTATTTTATAGCACTTGAATCTATAGTCTCTTCTCTCAGTAAATAAAGTATTTGAATATACAAATAGCTAATTGAAATCTTTTGAAAATTTGTTTTTATTCCCATTAAAAACTGTTTTATAATCAGTTGGTTTACTGATAGGTTCTTTAAGTAGTAAACTATCTTTGTACATTCAATTGATATCAGATTCATACTCATGCTAAACCAGAAAAACAATTGCTCCGCTCAAAATTTTGATAACGTTTACAAATTCTTATTTTATTGAACTAAATTTTTACACCAACTTGATATGAGATTTATATTCCATTCTTTAACCAGCGAGGAGGTATGTAGAGCAGAGGTACTGCAAAGGTAGAACTAACTTCTGGTGATAAACATCGAATGGATATGTAAAATATCTATAAAAAAATGTTACATATAATGAAGGACAATACATTTTTTAAAATAAATACACAAACATACAAGATCATACCCAACCAACATACCAGTTGCTCTGATCACAAGTTAATATATAAAAGCTAGATTTTTACATACATTTGATGCAAAACTAGTATTCCATTCTGTAACCTGGAGAAGGTATTGCATAGGTATAAATAACTTCTGAAGATAGGAACAGAATGGGCACCTACCTAATATATAAAATCAATATATTAAAAAATAATATTTTAAACTAACATTACACAGATATTAGAACAGAATAAAATTATCATATATATAAATTAAAGATCTCATATAATTTATCTAACTTGTAAATAGTTTTTTTTTTGTTGTTGTTTTTAATTTTTTTAAATATTTTAACTAAATTTGATGCCCACAAACAAGACAAAGACATTGTCTATAAAATGAATTTTCGCCACGCTCAGAACACACAACACACTTTCTCATCTTAGAGGCTTGAAGCTTCCTATCAGCTTTGCTGTGCAATTCAAAGCGTTTTAAAACAAGATGCAGCTTCTGCTCCTGATTTCTTACTGATTGCAACTGTCTTAATTCTTTATTTACGCTATTATGCAAACACTCTCCCTCCTCTTCACTTAGCAACCCAATAGTTTTATGGAATTTTACAAATAGTGGCACATTAAAAATAAGTTCATGCATTTTTCGTGTGATACTTTCATTTGCAAAGCAAGCATAAAACTCAATAGCAAATAAATTTATATATTGATGAAGCTCAGTAATTTCGGCATCGGAAAGAAATTTTCGCCAAAAAAGAATAGGTTGCAACTTATTAAAAACACTAAACACACATACAAATCTATTTTTAATTGCTTCATCATCAATAACACTACAAAGTTTATAGTGGTTTCTTAATACTATTTTGCAATGATTACCTACAAATACATTACCATGGTAAGCTTGTCGCTCAACCTTCATATCTTCAAGGGCCTTATAAAGAGACCTCTCATGAGGCCCTATCATATTTTTATATTCTTTTTCTAGGTCTTCACACTCCATCTGCAATCAAATATACTCAACGTCTAAAAGTTCCCGTTGTGCGCGTATAAAAGAAATTTTTTCAGAAATATAAAGGTCAAGACATTCTATATCTTCACCCTGACATGCTAAACACTCATACTTCTCAATGTCACACAATACACTCTTTTCCGAATCACCAATAATTTCACAAAATTGATGAAACAATTTTTGGCATGTACCACACTGCACCCAATCAATGTTACAATCGTATTTTGTAATTAAACACCTAATACTATCACACATTTCTTGCTGTTTACAGGTTATTTTTTTATTGGAGGAGTTTAGAGATAATTCAGAAATATTTTTATTAAAAGCTAACCAACGCGCCTGTAAATTTGCAATGTCTACAAATTGATTTCCTAATAAATGTAAAGCTTCTGCTGTTTTAGAACATTCAACGCTTTTAGCAGCTCACAATTCATTCGCTCTCACATTCTCATTATGCGACAAAGACGAAACAGCTTGACAATCTAAAGTCTTACACTCCTTCAACAATAACTTATACAGTTTTAACACAACTCCTAACATAATATGCAAAACAGGTGGCACTACATTATCTAAAGTTATTATGGGGAAAATCACAGGAGCAATAATTGAATTATGAAACTTACCTAAAGTTCTTAGGTTTCCACCTTGTCTATTTTCACACAAGTTCTCATTGTAAGCACTTTCCAGAGATTGTATTGTCCTCCTTAAGATGTTACAATTAGCAGGTTTGTGAGGCATAGAAGCATGGTTTCTTAGAGAATTCAACTTAACTAGGTCTGTAGAACTAGGAAAGCTAGCAGCTGAACCCTGGTGTCCCAGAACATCATCGATAAAATGAAAATCTCCGCCTAAGAACAACCTGACTATTTTGTCTTTTAGCTTAAAATCTGACGACTGAATTCTTTTAATGTCGTTGGCAAAATGCCCGAGAACTAAGGTTATATTCTCACGACAGTCTGAACCCTGATACATACAAAACAAGTGAACATCGTATACAGACCCTGATGATTTAGAATTGACAACTTCAAAATGGAATTTCATATACTTCCCACCCTTATCACCAGTGAAAAAGGAGCCATACCTCTTCGCCAAAACCGACATAAGGTGGTCGCGTACATAAAGATTAGTAAAAACCTCTTCAATATAAGTTGTCAAATTCTTGACCATCAGTACAGATACTAAACAAGGTGCTTCATTCGCAGATGGATAAAGTAACATGGACTTCACAGTGACATGTTCTTTATTGACATGCATTGTCCGCATTTCTTGTTCTTGTCTTATCTTGGGCTCAGATGGGAGAATCCTTGCACCAAGATTACAGCCGTGGGCATCCTTAAATGGCTCTGTAGCTCTACAGCATCAGAAACACTCAACTGCTTAACTAAACCCAACTTATTTGCAACACAACAAAGTATTGACTTTTCACAAGACATAGATTCACAAAACAACATAGACAAATCACTTTCTAAATCTGAACAAGCTAATAATCGAAGGTATATAAAAGCAAGTTTAGATCGTCTAGCTGCAGCATGCCTACCTAACTTAGAATAAGGTTTACCATTTTCTAACTTAATGTAAGTATATTTTAATTATATATCCAATATGTTGTTTTAGAATTTCCCTCTCAGTTGCATTCATAGTTATCAAAATAGTATTGACTTATTAATCAATATAATAAAAACAAATAAAATAACATTAATTAACAAATATATGCACTAGATAAAAGTGGATTTAACAACTTATCTGATATTAGTTTGATAATCCAAAGAGAAAAATTCCGCGTAACTTTGTTTACTTTATACTTCAAAAATTGACTCGCTGAAACAGTTGTTTGTAAAATATTCGTTAATAAATAGTTTGGGACGTAACGCATAAAGGTTATGTCATCGCAAAAAAACGTCAACACAAATGTACACCTAAAACTAACAAGATTAGTTGTAAAACATGACATTTTTGAAAACATATTTCATAACATAGCTGAAGGCACATAAAATAATTTTTTTATTTTCATTTGCATAAAAGGTTGAAATTTCATTAACTTACGTCATCCATCAAAAATGTTACGTTTTGCATTTAAAAACGATCAATTAAAAAATATAAATGCTTTAAAAACAGTCTTTTTGTGAAAAAATCTCTATGATGACGCAGGAATCTAATAGAATGGACATTTAGGGTTAAGTGTTCCAAATTTCAACTATCAAGCACAGAGCTATGTGATGAAATCTTAGTTGGCCCAACTCATGTTTTCCGGAAAATATGTGAAAATTAGAAAAGTGGTTCTATAAAAAATTAATAAAAAATTTTTTAAATTAATAAAAAAATTTTGGCAATATTTATTTTTATACCAATTAATGTAAATATTTATTTAACAAAGAAAGATAGATCTTTTATATTTTTTTAATTGCAAGATGAAAGCATTTATATAAAAAAGTTACTATTAATTTAAAGTTTGTGAATTTTTATACTTTTTATGCGAAAATACTTTTTTTTTTGATAAACTCATGACGTCACGCTCGTTTTTATATTGAGTGAAACAGCCGTGTCTCGTGTAGAGACGCACGGCTTTTAAAGGAGAAAAAATTTGGTATAAAAATGGCTTCCACAAATATAAAAAAACAGCACATAAAATGGTAGCATCATTCAAAATTTATTCTGAAAATTGAAGATAATGGCCTAGCTAACAAGAAAAAACCAAATAGTTTAAAAAATTCAATATTGCTATTAGAGCTGGGTAACTACTAAAACTTTTCAAAAGTAGTGCAAAGTAATTTCCGGTTACTTTGCACCACTTTTGAAAAGAATGGAGTAAAGTAGCCCGGTTAGTTATATATATATATATATATATATATATATATATATATATATATATATATATATATATATATATATATATATATATATATATATATATATATATAATTAGTAGAAAATCACTTAACAAAATTTTTTTTTTTATTTTACACTGTTTCATCAATAAAGACTCATCAGAAATGAATGATCAAATTAATAAAATTATAGGAAGTCGCAAATATTTTAACTACTGTAAATTTTCACACATTTGTGGAATTTGCTGACACTATTATAAAAAGAATTCTTTAGAAATGATTACTTATGCTTTTTTAAAAAAATCTTTTTTAAAAGGGGGGATTTAGTGTAACTATTATTTGAGCTCACTTATTTTTATAGTTTTTTAGGAGAAACTTATTTTTGTGCCTGCACCTAGAAATCAATTCTGATTTTTTGTTTAACAAACATTCTTGGTTTGCATGTGTAATTATTTATTGATAATTTTATTAAAAGTGCAATCGTTGAAAGTCTTTTTGTTATAATAATTTAAAAAAATTATAATAAAAAACAGGTACACAAAATTACATTTACTTAAAAAATACATACTTTTTAAATAAAAAAATAAAAAAATACTAATAAAATCTATAATATATGATAAACTTTTAAAACTTTGACAGTTTAAAAAATTATATTTAAAACATTTATTTTTGCAAACAAATAGTTTAAAAGATTTACATCTTTGCAGATGTGCTTCCAAGAATAAGCTATACTATAAATATAATAGTTCGTTTAATAATAATTCCTAAAACAATTTATGCTAGAAATCTTAAAACTTAACAAATCTCGAATAATACAATTTTTAAAACATTTTAACAGAATGCTCTAGAATTTTATTTCTAGTCAGCGTATTTTTTGAACTAATAGAATTAGTTTGTTCTTAGTGGCGGGTTTTTAGAGTTTACAAATATTCTTTTTATTCTTCCGCACCAAGATGTTTCGAGAATATTCAAGTTTATGTATGTTTCTATGTATGTCCGTAAAACAAAAATTTTTGAAATTCTCGTAAAAGAATTAACTTAATAATAGTTTTGCAGATAAATTATTCAACAAAATACATACATAAACTTAAATGTTCTCAAAACGAATAAAAAATCTGGCCATTTTTTCGCAACTAAATATTATTTCCGCGGTCAATAATCAAGAGTGATTGCTCGTGCTTCCCAACCAAGCCTGCCAATAACATTAGCAATCTAGAAATTAATTTGACAAAAATTTCATTGTTACCACTATTTCAGGGTTCTTTAATATTGTTTGATCTGACTCAATCAATGTAATAAAAAGATATTAATCCTAATCAGATCTCTGTTAATACCTTTTTCAAGATGACAGGAAAGATCTTGTGGTACTTTATAGCAGGCATTTTGTAAACATGAACAAAACATGTATTTGTAGCATGCATGTTGTAAACCGTACTGCAACAGATATTATATTATTTCATTAATTAGGCCAAATTCAGATGCAAAAAGTGAAAAAACTGCACGGATTACTTGGTCCTTCTTATAACTGATGCATTTTTGACACTTTCTGTAGCCCATAATTTAATGACTGATAAAACAATGCTATTGCTAGAAAAATTTGCTAATTTTTTGTATGACCAAGCGGCTATGTAAAAAGATGTAAATACTGCAAAGAAGTGTTTTTTTACTCAAAAGCACTAGCAGTTTGGCAAATATCCACTCATACAGCATACGAGTGGAACTTTGCCAAACTGGATGGATGGGAAATTATAGCATATGTGTATCAGGCTTATGGTTAGAATCTATATAGCATATAGTGTATCAGGCTTATGGTTAGAATCTTCCTGAGGCTGATAAATGTTATCCCAAGTTAAATCAGTGTGGATTTGAAACAGGTTGAATTGTAAATGTGTTTGTTTCAGTTTAAAATGTATTGTTGTTTACAGCTGTGAAGGAGAGTGTACCATTATTTTAAAGATTATAATATTTTATTATAAAAAAAAAATTATAATTATTATATTTATTAAAAGTCATTTTAATTTGTTAGCTGCTGTAAATGTGTTATTCAGATTTTTGAATATTGTTAAAAAAAAAAAGCTACTCTGCCGAAGCTGGTCCAAAATTCATTTGTAAAATGAGGATGGCTGTTAATATTTATGCATTTACAAAGTCTCTATTACACGATAACAAGTTTTCTGAGTTATAAGTTTGCATGTAATATGTTCTTTTGTTGTTTTTTTCACCAGGCAAAAACTGTATAATCCATGATGGCAGCACTAATATAATAGTTACTAACATATTTGCACCCAGGTAAGGGTGTAAGGTATGCAATCATTATATACTTGATATGATTTCCCTACCCTCAGATTTTAATAAAGATCAGTTGAACAGTTTAAGATTTACTAAAGTTTTGATAAGTCTTGGATTTGAGCCAGTTCTGTTTATGCCATGCTTTGCCATCTTGTCTCAAAATGATCAGAATAATTTTCTGAGTAATTGATAAAATTTTCATTTCTTATCTACTCGTGCACAATTCCAGTCGTTTTAATACTATTCTGCTGCACTAGTGTTTTAACTTTGTATCTTAAAAAATTGTATACTAGGGGTGTATCAGAAGAAAGTTTCAAATATACTTTATTGGAATCAAACTATTATATAGCAAAATGCTTATATAAAAAAGATGTTATGCAGCTTCGACTCCTGCTTTTATAGATTGGATTGGTTTCGATTAATTTGCTTCTGATAATTAAAGTTCTGATAATTAAAATCGAAAGTTATAATGAAGATCAAATTTAAAAACTCTGTGCATTCTATTTTTCAATAGAGTTTTGAATTAAGACAACATTGTTATGATATTAAAAACTTTAACTAAAACATTTAATAAAAGTTGTTTATAAACTGTGAATTGACTGTCTTAGTTTAAATCTCCAGCTCCAATAAACCCCCGTTACACATCTGATACTCCTCCGTTACACCTCTATTGTATACATATAGTATACAATCTTGAAGATATCAAATTAATGCAGAACTAATTTTTTTATAAAATCTGTTTTGTATATAAAATTTATAGAACTAGGTTTTGAATCGAATCTTGAATTAAATCAATAAATATTTTTTTAATATTTTTTTTTGTGTGCATTAAGTTTTATTAAACTTTAATAATATTTGGAAATTTTTTAGGACATTTAGTGGAACAATGAAAAGTTTAGGTAACATGAAGTGGGAAACAAAGCTAAGCAGTGCTGGACTAATATATTTGCACATGGGGAAAGAAGTTATTTCTGAAATTACAAGTTTACCACAAAATGATGTAATAGTATCACGTTTATACGAAAAGTTGTATGAAAAATTTGTTGAAGAAATTGATGCTGTTGATAATGGAATTGATCAGTATGAAGGATCGCACCCAAAGTTAGTTTTTTTTTTCTTTTTTAGTCTATATAATATTGCTGATATTAGTAGTAGTAGTAGTAGTAGTAGTAGTAGTAGTAGTAGTAGTAGTAGTAGTAGTAGTAGTAGTAGTAGTAGTAGTAGTAGTAGTAGTAGTAGTAGTAGTAGTAGTAGTAGTAGTAGTAGTAGTAGTAGTAGTAGTAGTAGTAGTAGTAGTAGTAGTAGTAATAGTGCCCTTTCAAGCGTGTTTGACACAGAACTCTTAGCAGCCATTGCAACCGAGATAATGGTGATAAAGAGTCGCAACATTTTGTTTTATAAGAAAATGTGAATGAAAGTTTAAGCAAATATCTAATGTACGTAAACTTCAAATTATATAATGTTAAAACATACTTAAACATATATAAAGTTTTACGGTTTGATGTTTATTTGAAAATTGCATTGCGCCAACCTTTCCTTAATTTTGATCTATTGGATTTATTTCCGTTAAAAAAATAATTTATATACTTTTAAAATTCTGTAAGCCAATGTACCAGCGCTACTGAGTGGTTAGCATGCAGAGCTTCTGAACAAGAAAGCCGTGGTCTGATCCAACTGGTGGCGACTTGTGAAGAATATATACAAACATATGTAATGATATTATACACTTTAACAAACGAAAAATTTTTCAAAAAGCTAAAAATTCTAAAAACTAAAAAACAGGGTGAAATTTGTTGCATATGTGTCATGATAAAGATACATTTCAATTTTTTTACAACAAAGTTGAATTCGTGCAAGAAAAATAAGTATACATCATGTTTATATATAGAATATAAAATCAAAGATCAAAATTTTCCCTCGCAGAGTCGTAAATTAAAAAATCAAAATAGTTTATTAAGTTTAATGAAAATTGCCACCTAAAAGAACTTAAGATCTCCTTTTTTAAAAACAAATTTAGCAGTGCATAATTTATGGACAATCCCATAGCGTTTTATAGTCTATAGTTTTTAATGGTCTAAAATCTTCTTAGTTCTGCCATTTTTATAGTGCTGCGTACAAACGTCTGTAAATGTCTTAAGTTTGCAGGCAGTATATGGAACAATCGTGTATAATAACTCTACAAAAATTAGAAAACTTTTGAGTTTTATTTTAACAAATAGAAAACTTACTTGCTATATTATTACTTTTTTGCTATAAATGTTGCTATAATTATTATAGATATATAGGAGAGATTTTCCATAATTGGAACAGTGCCTTTATTGGAACACTTGCATTTATTTAAAAATAATAATGAATTATGGCTATATTTTGCATTTTTTTTAGTAAAACATCTTATATTCTATGTTTTGACACATATTGAAAGTTATTCCTCAAAAAATGTATAAGCACCATTGATTAAAATTTTTTTTTGCATTATTTTTTTTCGGTGATCTAATTTTGAGTTCACACTATATTGATTGCGCTGTAAACTTAACTGCTATAGGTTATACAGTTTTTTGTGTTTAATTTGATGGGATTTAAAATGCAAATATACAATATAAAATTATCTTATAAGTTGCTGCAATATTGCAGTGCACAGCTCAGTAATTTAAGGTTTAAGTTTACTATCCGAGTACCCCAAAAATGTTAATGATTTTAGTAAGTGGGGCATCTGGACATTTGATTTTTATATTTAGAAAAATCTGGGAGGTATCACATTTTTAGAATATTGACATAATATAGCAAATCTGCTAAAAATATTTTAAAAACTAAATATATTTGCAGAAAGTTGAAGTTTATTTTAAAAAATATTCATATTCCAACTTTTCAAGGTCTTTAATACTCAAAGTTGGTCAAAAAAACATTTTGTAATAAAAGTATTTCTTTTTGACTATGCTTTTTTATTTTTTATGTTATTATAGATACCTATATCTATATTATAATATAGATACCCATATAATATTAAAGATATAATATATAAAATCTTTGGCTCCTCTGCTCTCAAAGGAGAGTAGAGAATATCATTTTAAAAAAGGTCATGTTTCAAAAGATCATCTGCTGTTGCTGCCTTGAAAAGAACAACAAATGCATTCCAGTTAATAAAAATTTAGAAGGTCTGGTTCAAGTTTTCTGTTAGCCTGAGTTTTCACTGAAAGTATTTGCCTACCCTACAGGATTATGCCCAGATTGCAAGACTTATATCTCTGTAAGGCTGGTAAAACTATTGCAGGCACAGTTACTCTAAAATACTTTAAAGTTGCAACAAACTTGAGTTGATAATTTCTGTTGAACTGTATCCTCTCATGGAAACAATCAGAAAGTTTAATAAGGTTGTTCATGGTGTCTTTGGCTATTAACTTAACCCAAACTATTAAATTTTAATTCAAAGTTTTACACAAAATTATAAAGATGCACAAGACTATTACAGAGAGGTAATCGCTGCATTAAACTTTGTATTTGAAACCAAGTTATTGATAAACATATTTAAATTAAATTTTTTTAGTTTTCAGATAAACAGCTTGCGGTTATCTGAAAAATACATGATGTAACCGCACATCTGGAAAAATACATGATGTAACTGCACGTATGTTGATTTGAGTGGCCTTTTCCTTGGGTAGTTTAATGAGCAGACATCTGAACCTTGCTATTCCAAGTTAAAAAGAGTAATAAACAGGTTTAGTGTTCTCAGTATAGTATAAAGAAACAAACATAAAGAAGGAAGATATAGAATTGCTGAAGTGTTTAGTTCAAGTAGTTTATAAATTATTGAACATACATCAATTATACATTAAAACACAAATATTATTGAAATCTTAAGATAAAAAAATGTGTAAATTCATTCAAAAAGACATTAAAAGTATATTAGTATAAACGATTATTTTATTTAGTATTTATTATATTATTATTTACATATTAGGTTATTAGGCAACTATGCATGCAATACTACTATTCTGCTAAATTACCTATTATTTATATACTATTAATATGTTCTACTTTACTAAGCATACTATGTTCCTAAATTAATTTCGAGCCTAAACTTTTTTCGCCAACTTATGTTTAATAATAAAGCAGTCTAATGATGTTGATGCATGAATACAAAATTAAAAAAATCATAAAAAGTTGGAATATAAAGTTATTTTATGTTAGCTTTACTATTCTGTCAGTATATTTAGTTTTTTACGAAAATACAAAAAAAAAAAAGACTTTTTAGCAGATTTTAAATGTCAATTTTCTAAAAATGCGATACCTCCCAGATTTTTATAAATATGAAAATGAAGTTTCCAGATGCCCCACTTACTATAATCATTACCATTTTTGGGGTACTCAGATAGTAAACTTAAACCTTAAATTTCTGAGCTGGTAGTGATATAACAAAATAGTCCAAAAATTCCTTGATTGGAACTATAAAGTTTTTTTGACTTAATCAGTTATAAAATCAAAAGGTTGTAGAAATAGTTCAAGCGGAATTTAAAAATACTTAACAACCATAAACCTAAAAAATAATACTTTATTTAGTGATTTTTAATCAATAAGTTAAGAGAAAGTCATATCAATTTTTTGTTTGTAGAATTTCAGTTTGTCAGGGTAATATTAATCCTGTTATAAGTTTTGAATGAACTGTTTAAATTTTGACTGTAAAAATAAAAATCATTTTTAATTAGTTTATGTTGATTTTACTGTTTTTTTATAAAAAACAAAAAAAAAAACCTGTTCTGATTAAGGAATTAAAGTGGTCCAATTTAGGGAACCAATGGCTAAAAATATAGTAGGGTTGTCTGTTTGTATTAATCAAATCATAAATGTTTTCATAGTTAAGCCATCTTTGGTTAATAAATATTTATTCCTTAAGTGTTTCAATTAAGGCAACTCTCCCCTACTTTAACAAAAATTTTGCTATAAATATTCTAATAAATACAGCAAGAGTGAAAAATGTTTAAAATTTATTAGGGGAGGTCTTGAATACCCCAAAACGACACTGATGAAAGTGCACTAAACCACTAAGCTATCAATAATATGTGTTTAGGAGTAAAACAAACCTAATTATAAATCTCTTAGAAGCTAAAGGTATGCTAAAAAGATGCGCATGCTTATTTGTTTGCTCTTAAAGCAATTTTTTAAAATGAATTAATTTACGTTAAAATATTAAAATAAACAAATAATAGGTATAGAAATGACCAGTGTGGAATAACATAAAATTTTACAAAAGTAAAAGCAAAGAATCTTACCGTGGTAACCATTGTTATTCTTAACACTATCAAAATGCAATTTTGAGAAATAAAAGATGTAATTAACTTTATAGTTATGTATAGGTATAATAATATATGTGTTAATATATCAACCCTTGGAATTAGGGTCAGCATTCGGCAATGCTGACCTAACTGCCAACCATTAAGTGTTTGAGGTCGGCAAATAATTGCCGACCTCGTTTCTATGTTTTATAGTTAGACCTTTGTATCAATTTTTTTTTGTCCAACTAATGCCGACCTCTAAAAGATTGAGGTCAGCAAATTGTTGCCGACCTTGTTTTTCCTAATCCCGAGGGTTGATATATACTATATAGTTTATATATATATATATAATTTGTTATGTTTAATAAATTGCAGCCTTGTGTTAAACTTGCAGAATTAGGTGAATTAGGTGAATACAGGAATTACTGGTAAGTTAACCTATGTTTACAAAAAACAAAAAAGTTTATTTTATTTATTACTATTTTAAAATTCATACTATTTACTATTATTTTAAAATTTAAAAATGATTATCGAAAATTCTAAATTGGGTTATTTTTTCTGCATCTTTGGATTTGGCACCTTAAAAAAAGGTCATGTACCATATTTTTGTCATATTCTTTTGATATAACTTTATTCATGTAAATGCATAGCTAGTCCAAATAAGGAATTTTCAGCCAATTTTAAAATGTTTTTTTATTATGCTTTAAGTGACATCTTTTTTATTAAGATCTTAGCTTAACATCTTTTCTTTCATTTGGAAAAAATGTTGAATCCGTGTGAATTAGGCAACTCCAGGTTTATATGAAAGTGTAACCCTTGCTAACAGAACATAAA